TTTTTTTTTGTAACATTCATCTGTCGTTATTTCTTTAGTGGAGTATCTTTCCTACTCAAGAAAGCTAGTATGTCAGTTCAGTCGGCTGTATTCTTACTTAATGTTTTCGGTAGCTTCGCAAGGGCAAAGAAATGTAGATTCAGACTTTTAAGACTTGCCTTAGCGGGACGGTCTTTTACTTTGTGATACTAGACTATCAAATTAGGAACAGATGTTACTGTAACACTATTTAAAGCAATAATTGAACACAATGCAACTGGTGCAGTCAATATCACACCTGTAAATGAATTCATTCAGATATTTTCATCCACCTTTTGTGAAATCTGTATTCAGTGCCTATCGGCCAGCCTATCCAATCAAAGCAAACCTGGCCTTACCTGCCAATGCACCTAACTGCACCCTCTCTCTCTTTCTCTCCTCTGTATGTTTTGCTCCCGCCCAGTAATTTTCCGTTTGATTTCGGAGGTAATGCATTTTTTACAAATCAAAGAGGAAGCCAGGACGCCCTCCACCTCCCACCTCAAATGTAGATTCAGACTTTTAAGACTTGCCTTAGCGGGACAGTCTTTTACTTTGTGATACTAGACTATCAAATTAGGAACAGATATTACTTTAACACTATTTAAAGCAATAATTGAACACAATGCAACTGGTGCAGTCAATATCACACCTGTAAATGAATTCATTCAGATATTTTCATCCACCTTTTGTGAAATCTGTATTCAGTGCCTATCGGCCAGCCTATCCAATCAAAGCAAACCTGGCCTTACCTGCCAATGCACCTAACTGCACCCTCTCTCTCTTTCTCTCCTCTGTATGTTTTGCTCCCGCCCAGTAATTTTCCGTTTGATTTCGGAGGTAATGCATTTTTTACAAATCAAAGAGGAAGCCAGGACGCCCTCCACCTCCCTCCTCCTCCTCCTCCTCCTCCTCCTCCTCCCTTTCCCTCGATCTCCTTCTTTTGCCCTGCTCTTCCCCTCCAGGCCAGTGAGAAGATAAAGGAGCCCCCATCATTTCCTTGTTAGTTTTGATTTGGGCAGCACAGGGCTTTCAAGTTCTCCACATCACCCCCAGAAACATTATAACTAGCAGCCAAGGGAATACATCTTCTCACAATCTCCTAGATATGAAGACACTGATTCAGGGAGTGCACAACCACCACACACACCAAACAAAAAACTCAGAAAAAAAGATGCACATACACATGGACAGGGCAACACAAAGTAATACCATTCCCCAAGACAATATTCTCAAATGCACTCATGAGAAAAGTAAAACTCTTCTGTGACAGGTACATACGATCACATCAAGGTAACAAACTAACAGCAGCTCACAGTTATATCATCTGTGAGTAGAAAAAAGTGGAAGAAAATTTACACCCACACATTTTACTTGATTTTAAAATTATATAAATAATAATTTATTATATATGAATATAAATATATCTACGTATATATGTGTATACTAGGTGAATGAGAAAAAGCTTAAATAATTAATAATTTTATATATAAAAGAAAATTATATTTTGTAAAGCAGATTTCATGGTTTAATATGAAATATTATGACTGTATGTCAAATAATTTTTAATCATTCAGTAAATCTGTTTTGTAATGGTGTGGGGATTCAGAAAGTGCTAGTTTAATGCCATGGAAAATTATTTCTGCTAATCTTATAGCACAAAAGCACTAAGTATGAAATAATAAGTGCGCTGTTATAAACATTATTGCATTTAAACACAGGCATTGATTACTCCTGTGACTAATTACATTTAGTGAAAACTGCTGATTGCACATTAATGTTTTGACAAAACAGGGCTGCTGGAAACAAGGTTGTAACACATTGGGTGGACCAAATATTAAAATGGTAAAAATGGTCCCAAAATAAAATTGTTAAAAGGTGAGGTACAGAGGTGAACTAAAGAGTGGAGGAAAAGAGACAGAACTGAGTAACAGATGGCTGACATTGTTTCTAGTGAAAAAGATGGACAGCAAGGTTCTGAAGCAGAGATTACTGAGGGAATGTGATGAGTCTTGTCCCTCTTGCTCTCTGCTCCCAGGACATGAAACAAACCCTCTGTATCTGTGTCATCTTTCTGTTTCGGGCTGCCACCGAAAAGGACTTACTGAGCACCCTCGTCCCTCTCTCTCTTTCTCCCCCCACTGTTCCTTCCTCTTTCCTCCTTTTACTTTCTCTCGATCTCTCGATTTCTCTTGACTCTACTCTGACAGTCTGCACAGCCTCAGGGTCAAAGAACAGAAGGGCTGGCTTGTCTGTTTGTTATGAAGAAGGAAAAATGGAGAGCAGGGGAAGAGCGGGGCAAGGAGAGAGATGGTCAAGATGGAGAACTTGAAATGGGACACATCTGACACATTGTGAACGCTACCAGACAAAAATGGCAGTTCCTATGTAAACTTGTGGAAGTGAAATATTTTCAGTCGGCTCACAAACATAATTCTGAGACCTTTTTTGTTAACAGAATGTATAGTAAAATTTCAGAACAACTTCATAAATAGATGAGACATCCTTGTCTTTCGGCTGGAGCGTGCAAAGTGAGGGACATTTAATCACATTATTGAAAATTATGAATTTCTGTACAAAGCTTTTTAGATCCCTTTTGTAATGGATTTCTCTAAATAAGGTCTAATAAATTTTAGAGAACCACACTTGAACTTGGAGAATGATGCAACACATGTTTGCTTAAACATCTGTGGCTACTCAGTGTTTTATTGCTTGCTGTCTCAAACATTGATATCATTTTCATCTGCTTCACATTAAAGTTTAGAATTCTTGCTTAAACTCTGTAAATCAATGTCAAGTACAAAGAGTGCAATCTACCTCATATGGACTTTTAAACTTTAAAAATGAATTTAGTGTGGCAATCAAATGTACTGTTTTTAAACATTTTATTTCAAAAAAACAAAAATTGGAAACAAATATTAAACACATAGCATAAGCTAACAAACATAACAGTATGTGTCACTCACACAGTTGTGGCAAATGTCAGCCATACATGGTCCTATTTTGTAACATAATTCTTCTATAAAATCTTGTGTATATACGTTAGATATATTAAATTTATATGTATAAATTACATTAAATTACATTATATCTAATTAAACAACAATCTGCTGATACCAGTTCTGTCATTTAGCATGCCTTAATATTATTACAATCAGACTGACATAAGATTACACTGTCCTTACATCAAAATAGTTTTTGTCCTGTAAAAGCTTTATATTGTTACAAATAGACTTGAGTTTCTTCTGTCACCTCAGGAGGGTGAGTTCACCCCTGTAGCTCATGTCTAATTGGTTGCGTCTCACCCCGTTTACTCCACTCTCCCCCATACCAGCGATCATCTTTCATAACACTAGCGAAGCTTAGATACGAAACCCAATAATTGAGATAATAAGGTAAAGAGAGCGTGAAAGCGAAGCTTCGGCGGTGCCCAACATTCGCGGAGGAGAAAGCCTAGGAAACTTGGTAAAAAATAGAAGACGGAACAGAACTTGCTCAACTTTAGGAGCGATGATTGGAGCGAGCGTGCGATATGGTATCAGTTTCTTATAGAACATCGTACTTAAGATACAAGGAAAAGAAGGGAAAAAAGACGGAGAAAAGGTATCAATCGATAGGGTTAAATTATTCATCGTCATTAATTATCGATCGCTCTCCGTTGCCGACTCGTCCGCCTCGCGCCAGAGTTGAAAGGAGGGAAAGCGCGCTTTATTAAAACCGGCTCGAGCCTCATTGTTTCATGTCCCGCGGCAAAGAAAAAGCTAGAGCTTGGTTCTGCCCGCGCCAGTGAAAAATATACACACACATCGCCCCCCTTAAAGCTCTTTTTCTCTCCTCGCTCGCTTTCCCTCCCGACGCGCGGGAGAGCTTTGGGGAGCCTCGTACGGTGTTCACGGGGCGGCTGTGTCTCGCGTGGATCGATGTGGGATCAATGGCTCTCGCTGACTAATAGCCAGAGAGCGCCTTTGATCTCGCCGCTGAGAGATCAAAACCTGCGCGAGAGGGAAGAGAAAGCGGGAAATGCGCGGGAGAGCGAGCGGACCTTAAACTTCACACAAACACGTGCGCCGCTGGTACTTCGTTACATCTGCGGTCGTCTTGTGAGGTGACATCACAACGTATTTTCCACAATTGTTTACTCTCCTTCAATGAGCAGAAAGCAACGCCCTGTCTTCACACTAGATAGACAGACAAACAGGTTAATTTAGATGTTTTAGTGAGCCTATGCAGCGTATACTAAGACCGTTGTAACCCTCAAACTAAACATTTAAAATATTAAAAAATTAGGCCACACAAGTGAGTTCTATAGGCTACTCGCTTCATAACCACTAAACAAATCGGTGCCATAGTTCTTAATTGAAATAATGTTTGTGTATTACTTTGTGCACGTTTTAAAATCAAGTTTACGCGGAAAACCAAGACACATTTATTCTGCTTCAAATGTTTTGGCTCTGCAAGATGTTCATTTAAAAGGTGTGAAAAGCTAATTAATATAAGTAGGCTATTTAAAGAAAGAGAGTGGTGAAGAAGTGAAGTGCAGACTGCTCGAGGTCTTGAGATCACAGCAATTTAAGTGTGCATTTCAACACCAGATGATGCTCCATTAAATCGCTCTAAATAAAGCAGCAACCAGTTAGGCTAATGAATCCTGCTGTTATGCTTCTTATGCTTCCTTTTATGTCTTTATCACGAATAGGCCTACTGTTTTACAGGACAGAAGGTACAGCTATTGCGCCACATTTCTTCCTACTTGCTATATCCCCCTCTCTCTTTATCCCTCCTCCCTCTGGTCAGTGAGTAACTCTCTCTATCGCTCTCACTTCCCGAATTAACCACTCAAGAAGTCACCACCGACTCAATCAATAGCTCATACATAAACCCCGCTATAATCGCTCCACATGGCTGTCTGTCTGCCCCCTCATCCCTCGTTACCCCTTCATTCTCTTTTACACGCATTTCTTCTGTCCTCCCACCTTCTATTTATGTTGGCTTGACAACTACTAATTAAACTTATTGTTCACTTTCTTATTGCTGCCTTCTAATAACTTCTTGTTTTTATCCATAGGCACTGCGCAAAACTGTAATTACTTTAATTACTGTGTTTCTCTGCACCAGAAAATGTATGTGATGCCTCATTTAGAGTCAGTCTAAATGGCATTTTTGCTTTCCGTCTTGTGCTTTCTCTGTGTCATCTGAGAGAATCACCTCTCCTTGCAATTCTAATGTCTCTACACTAGGAGGTGTGCTGCACAGCTTTGACTATTTCTCAATATTTAGATATTAGTGCAAAATGAATATTCGGTTTTACAAAAACAATATTATTACTGCAGCAAAGAATTGTTGGAAAGCAAACTTGGCAGCAAAGAGTTTTCTCAACATTTAATTTACAAAATGTGCTTTCTGTGGTAACATAAATTAACTGTGTTTTTTCCCAAGTCAAAAATGTTATTTGATATGTCCGAATCAACCTGTGTCTACATTATATTACCCAAAAATCATAAGGGGATAGATACAAATGCGTAGGAACAATTGCACTTTACCACTTTTTGCAGTGCAGGTATGATAATATGGCAGGCAAAATAGCTAAAATTGTGCTGACAAAGAAGTTAATCAATATTTCATGCACTGTCTCCTGTTTAAGTGTGTAACAAAGTTATTTCGAGCTCACCGATTAATTTGTTTTTGCCAAAGCAAGTAAATATTCAAGCTGGACTCTCTCTCTCTCTCTTTAGTCCCAGCTGATCTCCTTCACATATTCAAAAACATTGAAACACAGAAACCAACACACACAGACAACACACAAGACACAAGACACAGAGAGAATTGAAAGATTACACACGAACGGGGCCCCTGCTCATATTCCCCGTTCTCCAGCCTCTCTTTCCCTCTGTCTCTGTTTCAGACTCTTTGATTCGATGGAGCGGTTTGATCTGAGCGAGAGCGAGTTTTGTAAACACATTTTTGCGATCATATAGCCATGGGCAAGGGGAGAG